GCGATGAGCAGCAATTGGCCATTTTAGGGGTTCCCTATGGCAACCTTGCCACAGAAAAAATGGGCCCTCGAGGCGTTGCCCCCAACGTGCCACGCCCAATGTTTTGGTACGGTTTGGTTTGACCCAAGTGACCTTGGACGGCCCTGAGAGTCTGCCCATGGCGAGCGAGCTTGGGGGCAACACGACCTTATGATACAATGGTCCACATTTGTTGTTTTGGTTTTGGAGTTATTTGAAGCTTTCGGATGGCTACTACCCGCCCTTACTTAGCCTACTGGGTAGGCGTGGTAAAAGACCAACCCATGTCTCATTATGTTTGTTGCGCTTGGTTGGGCTCGAGTCATCTTGGCTTAGTCTCGCAGGGATTTGGAGCTAGAGCCAATCTGCTTGAGGTGGGCCCTGCCTGCTACCAGCGCTGCCTCTCCGATATTCTCATGAAGGCGCGCGTGGCCTTCGGGGCGATGCCGGTGGTCATTTAACATGGGCGACTGCCCCTAGCACGGCTTCCATTCAGGAACCAAATGTAGCCAAATGCCTATCCTTATGGTATGGCAGGGTCATGTCGCCCCTTGGAACATTGGTCGGCTGCCATGAATAAGGTCAGATGAAGGCGTATGTGTACAGGCGTTGTCCTGGTGGGGCGACACGTTGCTGCTTTTGTGACAGAAAGTTTCCCCGTTATACAGGCGAGCCATGCAGCATTCATACTACGGGGGGAAACGACCCTCACCTATGATGAGTAGCTTCATGTTAGGTGCGCTCCAACTCTGTCAGGATACTTGCATCCCTGCACTTGTGGAAATGCAGAAGTGGGGTATCAGTTTAGAGGAACCCAAAAAGACAGCCACCATTTTGGGGCACCCCCTTTTAGACACAAATTATGTTTTTTGTTTTTTTGTAGTTCCGGCGCTTTAGGGCCTCTCATGTCCAAAGAGGCTTGCATCCCGAGAGTCTTGTGCGGGACACTTTTTCGCTCGTGGCTATCCAGAAGCAACGAACCTACGAACCCGAGAAACATGGCACTGCTATTTGGCCGCAGATCGCGGAGATGTCTGCGGCGCGGAAGCAGGGCAGGCTGGTCGGAGTGGGTCTTTCGGAGAAATGCAATGTGCCAATCCGTGTAAGAAGGAGGACTCTACCAAGGCACTTTTTTTTTTATTCGCGGGCTTTCCCTGCGAATTGGGATCCCGATTTCAACAGTTCAACCTCACTCCTCCTTTCGGTGGGCTGCACACAGACATGCCAAAATGTCACTGACATTCGATCAGCCGTTGTGTGGTTTGGTCCTTGCGTTTCCCTGTGAATAATACTGCGAGCAGTATGCAGTACTTGCACTGCTGTCCCTCCAGCGTTAGTTGCGCTGCGCTGGCTGGTGTGAGGATTTGACACAGTTCTGATTGATGCCATTGTGGTTCGAGTTACCGGTGCGGTCTCAGAGTAAAACGTCCACAAATGAAGGATGCTAGGTTTAGACAAGTACGAATAGACGGATAGCTGTCCCGAATGATCATGATACTAGCAAGTACTTTGTGAGAACGCTCATTAGAACTTGACGTCGTCATAGCTGAGCAAGTTCAACAGAAAGATTCGATCGGCCTCGAGGCCTAGATGCACTGAATCAAGCCGCATGATTTCAATCCGTGACTCCTATGTTGGGCAAGCGCATTCTGCGAACATGCGTGCCTGGATTGCCCCTATTTTGGGCGACAAAATCCCAAGAATGGAGACAGTGAAGATTGTGAGTGAGAAATCAGATCTGTGGCTGTGACCAACAGAGCGCTTTGTAGAACGTGGTCTGTCGGGCTAAGTTGGCTTGCGAAACGTGTGCCAGTCATTTGTTGCGATTGCTGCCTCGTTCACATGTCATTTTTCAGCGGCACCGAAAACACATCATCTGGCCAGGCCAGCACATGAGGCTCCCCTGATTGTCCACCACAGTCGGGACACGCCGGAGAAGCAATGGGACGAGCCGAGCTCAGCGAGCTCTGAACGCTTTTTCTGGATTGTGGTTTTTTCGGGGCAACTGACAAGAGTTTCACTACGTACTGAAATTGGTCCGTGCCAATATACGGAACCTTCCAAACTTGGTGGCTGATGTTCCAACATTGCAATCGCCCATCGCATCGGCGGGCTGGGCAGCCTTCCAAGTGGTGGGGTGGGTTAAGCTGAGGTGAGCTGAGCTGAGATGTGGCGAGTGAGGGATGGAGGGAGTGAGCGCGACTGATGACGATCACGAGCAAGATTATGATGGTGGTGGCGGTGGTGATGATGATGGTTTGGGTGCAAAGCTTCGAAATTTGGCCCGACTTATGTTGCCAAGTCCCCCTTTCACAAAGCAATGTGACAACACAATGCATGTCAGTCAAGCAGTCATATGCTCTTCATGTTCGCTACTGTTGCATTTCCGACCTCTATTTATACCCTCTTTTTCAACGAATTAAAGCATCAACGCCAGCCTTTTCCAGCTGACCCTCTTCCAAAACCCTTTCTCCACTTCGAATGATGGAGGGCCTAACACGCCTAAGGAAACTTTGGCCCTGGCCTACGACGGTGTCCGCCGCGCATCTTGGCCGCGACTCGAGAGTCCATTGCAAAATAGGTTGAAGCCTCACCCAGACCTCCAGCGGCGCCGTTTTGTTATCATTGTTCCCCTTTTTGAGGCTTTTCCCCTGGAAATCAACTACCAAGAAGAAGAGTACATCTTGATCCCGCGGCGTTTGGGCTTGTGATTCATACTGGGTCTCCTCGTGATTGCCATGTCTGGCCTCGATCTCACTGTTGTCACTAAATGGTTCCCATTGGAATACTTCTCCTCCTGCAATCCCCAACTGCCATACGTTCAGGATATGCATACCCATCAATATTACCTACCCAACCTGCCTCAACAACCATGCTACTCAGTAGTTATCTAGCAACCATGGTCATAACCCCTGTGCTGTGATTGTCAGAGTACCTTGGTTCGCCAGTACCCCACTGCCATATCCAGATTATTCATATTCCCCCGACCTAGGAATGAGGTGTTGAATCGTATGCCCACTGGCCATTGGCTAAGTTCCGGTGTTTGGCAGAGCCGGAGTCACTTGGTGTGCATGTTGCATGGCCTTGTTTAATTGTGGCTGGGCGGACATATGGGGATGTTCAACTCGAAGTTGATGTAAATGACGTTTTTGCCCGGCAGTGAGACATTCTGACTTGACACCTGGGAGTTTTGCGTAAGTTATTACTGGAGAGAGATACATATGTTCCGCTTGTGTTCGTTGTCAAATGAGCCGCTTGCTGCGTTTCTCGTTTGGAGAACCCCCTTTCGCTTAGTTTTGCGGGGGAACCAAAAGGAACACCCGCATTTGGGGCACCCCAAGCGACTTGGCACATGCGAGTGATGCCCGGGGGGCTTCGTTTCAGGTGCTGAGCCACTTCTCAGAGGAGGCCGGCTTGGACGCCTTCGCGCCCGGGAGACCCAGGGGCCCAGGGCCCCCTCCAGCAGGGATCAAAGCCTGTAAGCCAACAACTCGCATACCCCAAATGGACGAAGGATAGTTACATCCAGGTGGATGCTCTTAATCCACTAGTAGAGACAAGACTCCCTATTTACAAGGTGGATCCTCTAAATCAGCTGGTAGAGACACGGTTCCCTACACAGCCCGTACTTCTCCCTTTCACATCACCCCACCAGGAAACTGACTTCAAGTCGGCCCAAGCATCGCGTACTGTGTCTTCATGACACGGACCAAAATGGGACCCGTGTGCACTTTGGTTTCCCTTTAAATCCGCCGACCCCCTCATATTGAGTGCATGCTTTCGTTGCGGGTACCTTTTCAGGTATAGGCTTGAAGCGGCACACCAAAGTCATGTTGGGGGGTCGAAATCCGTGAGTCGCGTGGGTGTGTCTCGGCTTTTTGTGGCGCGGCAGACCAAAACAGCAAACAGAAAAACCGAAGCCGAACCTACTTACATACCTCAAATGGACACCCACCTATAGGCCCTAAAATCTTATGCAGCAGGCAACCCAGTTTAACACCAGGTGATTTGGGGATGTTTTTGAGGCGGGTCTTTACGGGGTTGGTGCGGGGTTGTGGGCATGCCGCTAATTTCTGACAGTGATTCAAGGGAACTTTCCCGGACAGAACAAGACTCAGTTGCCCAAAGCCGACCTGTTGATCTTTAAGTTGGTTTCCTGATTTTGCCCATTAGTCACTAGTCACGGTCGCCATAAAAGGTTAATCTGTCATTTTCAGCTCTTTTAGGAAGCTGAGCAAGAGGTTCGTAGCAGTTGCAATTCCAGCCCGTTTTGAAGGGAGAAGTTTGTGATCAGCTCGGTTTTTGGAATGGCGATGCTGAGGCAGGTTTTCCGGAACATTTCCTGCAGGCGATGAGAGGCGGAACCCTCATCATTGTGTTCCTTTGAGGCTCTTGAGCTCTTGTGGCGCGATATCCAAAGGAGTCTGCGGGCTGCCCCGTTGCTTAGAGGATCATATTGTTGGAGTACCCCGTAGAGAGTGCATCCCATCAGATGGGGTTTGGCCCAGGCCGCTGGCCTACGCCCTGCTGCTACAGGTGCAGGAGCGCAAATGAGCTCCCGGCTTCCAAAGGTGTCCTTGTGTAAAAAATGGTCAGGGCCCCAAGGAGTTGGGTTTCCAGCCACGGCATATGCCCCGCACCCAAGAGGAACTCCAACAGGCCCCTAGGGTTTCAGGTTTTGTACATTTGAGGGGTTAGAATGGCTGCGACCATTCATGTCCTTGGGTTCAGTATGCTTCAGTTGGTTTTTTTGACTGGTTGGGTTTCAGTATGTGCCAATAGCGGGCAAGCACCTTGCCTTGATTCCCGAAATGCAGAACCCACCCTGGCAGTGGCATCCGAAACGGCATCCTACTTGTTTCCAGGCTGCCCTTGTGCTCTCAAAATGGGGAACCCCCCCAAAAAATGTTGTTTTCCTTGTGGCTTCCTTGAACAAAAGCACTTTGTTGGGAAAAGACGACCTCTCCGCAAATTTCATGCCTTTGGTATGTCCCTTTTGTTTGATCCGAGGAGACTCTGGAGACCCTGAGCCCTGAGACTGCGGCCTCTGCTGGGCGCCGAGAAGTCGACGCCGGAGTCGTGGTTCAGACGACCAAAAGCGAATCGATGGGATTTCTCCTTTTGGTTCTCCTAAGTCGACCCATTTTTAGTGGCCCCAAAAGGTGATCACTGTTCATTTCCAGGTTGCTGAGGGCAACTGAATTCGTCGTCGATTGTAGAGGAATCCCCTTTGAGGGACCCATCTAAAAGGTCAAAAGTTGTCACCTTTTGTTGGGTCGCGGTCGGGGCAACTGAGCCTCCATTTAGCGAAGCCCAATGTGTTGGGATTTGGTGACCTTTTTTTGGGGGGGGGGAAGGGGTCTTGGGAGGCATAGCAAACACCTTGAGGTGATGTCCACTACCCGAAACGACCAGACAAATCGGGTATACAACCACTACACAGCCATTGCGTAGGTGTGTTCAGCCAAGCTGTAAACCCCACGTTCCAATGTGGCTCGTGGTTTGTGGGGAGTGGGACCATCTGACAGACGTGGCTGGTAAGCCAGAGTTCCTATGACGCGACTGGACCCTTCATTAGGTTCAAGTGGCATAGGGGATACAGGGAATGCTGAAAAGGTATGCGAGAGGTTTCTCGATTTGCAATTAAGATGACCTGCGTAGTGGTTTGACGAAGTCAAAGAGGAGGCGCATTGCTCTACTAGGCTTCCTTGGGCCTGCTGTCGCAGGAACTCTTGCATCTCACAAGAGCCACAGCAATAAGAACTCTCTTATTTCAATTCATGTGTCTACGAGACACTTCTCCCTTGAAGCAACCTACGGCCTGACACTTTGAGTATCTTGATGTAGCCTTGAGTTCTGTTGCGCAAACTAGAGGGCAGTCAAATGCAATGTGGGAATCCACATGTTCTGACACCCAAACATGTGTATGGTTTATGCTCGCTGCGGTCCTGCGATAGACATCATCCTGACAAGTGGCATGAACGTGGGTTAGACCACCAGATGGATATGCCCTGAAATCGTGTAGAGACCCATTCTTGCGCTGAAATGGTTTTCCAAATCAGGTACCTTACCTTATGGCTCTACATACGCTCCCACCAACGTAGCATCTCACAGGGTCCCTTCAAGAGGAAACTGATTTTGTTCGGCTCAGGCCTTGCGGGCCTTGGTGGACCTCATGAGGACAGCGCCGGTTGGGATGGCCGCTTCGGGTGGGTTGTGGGCTGCAAAGGAACAACTGAGCCACAATCAAAACCCGGGTAGATGAAGGTTGGCAAGGGATAATCCCAACCATAAATAGCTGCGGCCGCCGTCTTAATTCCTTACATGGTTCTGGGTAGACCATTTTAGTACCGGGTTTTGATTGTGACTCAAGCGTTGCTAACATAGCAGTATGACTTGTGACAATGGTCGCCTGATTCCTGGAACTAGGAGACAAGCAGCACATCGAAGACTTTGCTTCTTTCCGATGCTGAGACATGGGCATCCTGCTGGCGCAGGGAGCTCTTGGTCTCAGGGAATATGGATGAAGGGCACGTAGCAGTTCCAACCAGAAGCGAAAGGCCCCCTTGAGCAGTTTCAACCAGAAGCGAAAGGCCCCCTTGAAAAAACAAAAACGGAGGTAGCCAAAATGTTTTTTGGTTCAAGCGCGGTTAAAAAAGAGATTGACGCAATCCTGTTTCCTGCAACTTAAGTTAGGTTTACGACGCACGCTGTTCTCAGCACTTTTTCGCTCAGAGTCCGGCCCTTGCGGCGCTGTCTGACATGCATTTGTCGCCCGGCCAGAACAAACAGTCCCGCAGTTCCCGGAAGCCCGAGAAACACGGGAGGGGGCCAACGGGCCACACCAACGGGCCCGAGGATTTCAAGCTCCGAGCAGACTGGCTGTGGGAGATTGGGCTGCGGATGTCGATAATGCCATTTGGGCGGGGAGGGGGTGTCACTAATCAAGGAGCCCACACGTTCTCCAATCATGAATGCCACAAGCTTCCGTTCGCACGCCACCATGACTGGCCATTTTTCTCTATTGTTTTGGTGGTACCAAAAGCGCGGGAGACGGCCAGTTAGTGCCGAACCGGCCAGGATTCCATCCTCTGGCGAAGCATTTCAGGCGCGTTGAAGCTGCCTTGAAACGGCATGTCACCTTGGGGCCCTCGAAATTTGCTATTGTGGGGATCAAAAAACAGGGCCCCATTGTTGAAGTCGGTCAGATTGAGAAACTCATTTGCCCTTCTGGAAACCGGGCTTTCTTTTCTCGATTATTTTATAAACGGAGGGAATCCTCGATGGGGGTTTGATCGTAGACTTCCTTTAGTTGGATCTTCGGGGTATAGCTTTGTGGGATCTTCGACTTCGACCTTTAACAATTTTCGAAGGTTCGTAGTTTTCCCACGAACGAGGCAAAGCTCGGCACGGGTCGCATGTTTGCAAGTTATTTTACAAGTTCAACATTGAATCTGTGGAAGGGGCCACGATTTCGGGTGCAAAGCCGCGCTGGGCATTTGTTTGGTTTGCGCTTGCAATGTATGGGACTTCAGCCGTAGCCAATCATATAGTTCTTCAACATTCTTGGGCAGCGACCAACAGAACTTGTTTTGGGCGATGACCTTAAGCGAAGTCCGGGAATGTCCCTTTTGGTGTCCCATGCATTCCTTCTTTTGGATGAGTTTTCCTAAGTCAAACTACCAAAACTGAACCAGGCAGAAGGAAGTCCGCGCAGAAGGCGTATTTCGACTCGAGGTGCGGAGCTTGACCAGCGACCCGCGCCTGCCGTTGCAAGGCTGCGGGGGGTGGGCGTGGGGGGTGGGTTTGCGGACAACAGTTGGGTGAGTCGTTTTTCAAGGGTACTCTTTGTGTTGACGTGGTTTAACGGGAAACCAAAGGAACCCACTACTGTGTTTGGTATCAACGGGGTAGGATATTTAGTGTAAAAGGATTCTTTGCGATGTGTTCAAAGCGTCTCACTTGCCCAAAACCGACCTTTTGAACTTTAAGTTTCTCTGATTTGGTCCATACTTAGTCATGGCTCCAAAAGGTTAACCTTGTCCTTCGGGCAACTGAGAACTAGATTCCATGCCTCCGGTTGGTCGCCAAAATGTCAACTAGACAAGGTGAAATCCACAAGCTGATTGCCACCTATCCAAAAACTTCCACTGGCTCAAGAATATGTTTTAAACAAGAAAATATGTTGGTTTTTGAGAGAATCTACTGGACATATGTTTGGTTTTTCCAGGGGACTTAAGCAAATGAAGGATTACGTTTTAGCCCATGCGTCGCATAGGTGGGCCATCCTGTATCCTGTGCAAACCACACTAGCCGGTCCTCGCCGGTCCTTGCCTGATGTGATGTTTCTACTTCAGAACGTCGGGGTCCTCACTTTTCCTTGTTTGCATATCCCCTACAGTCCGTTTAGAATGTGACCCTTCCAGACGGATGGATGGGATGGATTCCTTTTTATTTGCCTTCAGAGACATTCCCAAAAGAAAAGGGCCCCCGCAGAGCCCAGATGGGACAAACTGCAGTTGTTGTGGCTTGTCCCAAGGTCTCCAGGTGCAAAGTGGCGCCCGTGTCCATGCCATGCTTCGAGGCGAGTGGACCTCAGTGCGAGCCTTGAGCTGGAGTTTGCTGCTCGGACCCCGGCAGAGCGCTGGGGCAACTTAACGTCGTGGGCATGTAAAGTAAAGGGAATCCATGATCCTGACCAGCGACCGGAATATTGTTCACAAAGTTTTGTAACAGACCTAATTTGGTTACCCCGAGGGCGGGTGAAGAATGTGTTTGCTCTTCCGGTTGGCGTCCATTTAGCTTCACCGGCTGGCTTAACTACAAGGCACGCAGCCAAATGGGCCCTTCAAAAGGACATTGCTGCAGATATGCAGGGGTCCCAGCTCAGATCATACATGTCACAGGCTGGTTGATGTTTGAAGGATTTAGAGAAAAAACATAATTCACACAAGGGGATTTGCGTTGTTTCACCGGCTTTTTGGTGGACACTGTTTAGCTCTATTTAAGGGATTTTTTTGGCCATCACACAGAACCCTTTGCCGACATGCACTTCAGGCAGCAGGAGAAGGCACGCCGCAGGGCCAAGGACGGCGATGGCCAACCCTGGCCTAAGATGGGCCCAAGACCAAGCTGTCGGGAAAAGCTATCCTGAGATCCACAAGAGAGAAAGCCGAGAAAGGGCAGCCGGGCGCGCATCGCTGCTGGCGCAAAGCGCGACTTGCGCAGATATACCGCGCGGGGCGTGGGAGCCCGATTCGCCTGCAGGCGCATCTTAGCCGCAGATCTTTTCGGGGAAGCCTCGCGAGGAGTTCTAGCACAAAGCCCTTGCTGCAGGGCTGTCCTGGGGTAAAGATTGGGCTTTTGCTTTTTGGACACACGCTTTCCCAGTGTCTAGTTGACTGATTTCCCACAGTTTAGGACCCATCTCGACAATTTGCATCAATTTGCCCTAGCCATCCGTCGGCATGCTGAGGAGGGCTGTTCACACGAATTGCATCGCTCCAATTTGCATCGTTTGGCCATGCTTGGCAGCCACAAGTAATCGCATCCCCTCACAATAATTGCCCCCGGAATTAAAATACCTCGGAAAGTTTGCATTTGTAGGAGCACTTTCAGACTGCGTTGTTTAGTATTGAGATGTATTGGGCTCAATTTGGAAAGAACCCCTTTGATCAGAGAAAAGAAACGGAGCAGATAGTGACTGTGGGACAGGGCAGGGCCACTATTGCCCCGTGGAGTAGTTGAAGAACCCATCTCCTTGGGGTTCTACTTCCCTGGGAAACTAGCATGCAGCATGCGAGGCTTTTAGTTTCTAGAGCACGTATTCCGGGCTGACGTTCAGCAGCATCTTACACCTTTGCCGTACTCAAGTAGTGACGGCCGCCCACCCCACCCCTGTCCCTCTCCTACGTCCTAGGTGGCACACTCTGAACTTTTGCCTCTCCCATGAGCTCTCTGCGTGCCCGCCGCGGTTGGAAGCCAGCACGCCCCTTTGGCTTGGATCTTCCTTCACCTTGTGTGATAGCAGGGGCCGTCGTCTCCATTTTGGTGGGTTGGTGGGTGGGTTGGGTTTCTGGGTTTCTGGGTTTCTGGGTTTCTGAGTTTCTGGGTTGGGAAAGGCCTTCTAGTTTCACAGAGACCCTGAACATCTTTTACCTTTTCCACTCGCCGAAAGGCTCTTTCCCACGACTTTCTTTGCGGGTCGGGGCAGGGGAATCAGCCTGTGCTTTTTAGACCGCAGTGACCACCATCACGGTTTTGCTAAGGACATTTCCTTGGCAAGCAACACCCCAGGTACCGGCTTGGATAAGAGGTTTACGAAGGAGGTACCCGTCAAGGTTTAGGCCATTTGGCTTCCTTCTGACCTCCACTGCCCTCAACCCAAAGTGAATGACACAAACAGAGCTTCAGGCCTGTCGCTGCGAACAACTTCCAAGACTGGAAGCGGTTTCATTTTGTTGCTGTCCATGTCCCAGGTGTTGTTCCTTGGTATTCTGTTGTTGTGTCTGCTGGTGAAGATGGGTCCATCCCGGACGCTGACAAGCACTACAGGCTGTACAGGTGGTGCCTCTATCGCTTGCGGAGGCCGTTCGAAACCCTAGTTGGTGGTTTGGATTGCTGAGATTGGAAGCCCCTGGTTCTTGCAGAGAGGTGGGAACCACCCAGTCCCCCTGACCTCCAAGCCACCGGACTCCAAACCGCCAATGAGGGGGACGCGTGCAGAAGTGCCTTGCCAGGAGACATTTGTTGAGACGCCGGGAACCTCAGACGTCGGATGGGCTTTCCTGGTGAACTCCAAAGGAGGCCCCTTTTTTTGGCATCACCCTAAATGTTCATTTTTGCGGGCACTGTTTGAGCGAGTCAGTGATGACTGATTTCGACATGCCACTTTTTGGGGTTTGGACCGGGACCCGTTGTGTGGCAAACAACACGTTTGGTTACTGTGTTTGGTCCATCTACTCAGGAAGTGAGTTAAGTACCCTTTCTAGGTTCTTCAAGCATCACCTTTTGGGCCAGTGTTGATTGAGATTCGCGTTGCGTTGATGTTTGAGGGCATGAGGAGCCTGGTTAGATGGCGCAGGCTTCGGTAGTCAACTTTGCGTGCAAATGGGCAACGACTTGCCAGGGGCATGTCCTTCTCCTGCGGTGGGCGTGGAAAAGTTATGTCAAGCTGGCCAGACTCTGTGACCTTTGTTGTTGTTAACGCAGGTGGTTGGAGCCAAACAGCTGCAGGCCTGTTTCATGAGCCGCGGACCTGCCGAGTGGCCGCTTCGAAGCCGTTTTCCCGCGTGGGTCTTTGAGGCTTACGTCCTCCTTGGGCGCCTTGAGGCCGGCCAGGGTTCGGATCGTTAGGGATTTTCTGCATGGCTATGACTAGGACTTGTAATCTAATAATAATTGGTGGACATTAATCCCCAAACGATGTCCACCACAGGGTCCCCAATTGAAAATGGGGGAGGGTTGGTTCTGAACCCCAAAATTGAGCTCCTTTCCACTGGCCTAAGAAACCTTTCAACACATGATTGCCCTTCAAACAAGGCACACCCAACTGGGGCCCCTGTGGAAACCTTGGTGTCATTTACTGCCGCGATTTCAGATTCAAAAAGAGGTTTGTCGTTTGCGCGCCACGGCAAGTAAGCTTACTAGGCATGTTTCGGTGTCATTTAGTGCCCCCTGCGAAACTTGGGGGCTTCCAGATGGGTGCGGAAAACTGTAGGAATCAGGGGTGCAACTGGCTTCGACTCAGGCTACTTGTTCATTCAAGCAAGGAGCTGCATAAACCTGTTAGCCTGTTGGCGTTAATTAATGAGATTCAACTTCCAACATGGTCCAGCTATAGCTATGTTCCATGATTGTAGCCAAGCTGTTGGCCAAACAGCTTGTCATGTGGAAGTAAGATCATTCCAGAGGTAGCCCGCCCGTCCGTTGCAAAGCTCCTCTTCTTCGGAAAGCCGCCCAAAACCCCGGGAAATGTCTTGATTTTGAAAGGAACACTGGTTGAACCAATGGGTGAGTCCATCCGAGCTCCGTGAAAGATTTATCTTTGGACTGCGTGTTCCATATTGCCATTGCCGTTGCCCTGTGGCCAGTGGCGCCATGTGGCGCCCCCCCTGGCTTCAGCTCGGAGATCTGGACGGGTGACGTTTTCCCACCTGTCCCTTTTCTGTGGACATTCGGGTGTGTGGCCATAACCCGATAGCCTCCCGATATGCTTAAATAAAAAAATCCCTTTCTAAGGCCTGCTCAGGGTGCAACATGTAACTATGTCCGCGGGCATGGTCTTTCTCTCTCTTCTCTTCCAGGATTCCCTCATATGGTTCATACTGCTGGACAACATCACAAAATCCTGGACTAGGTAGGTTGCTTATCCAAGTAAAATGGGCGGGTGTGGGTGTTTTTTTTTAGGGCCACCTCCACATTTCAACTGGTGTTCTTTTTGGCTTCCCTCGAACATCAGCCGCCGAAGACCTGGTGCTTGCCAGCCAGGTCTTCGCAGACTTGTTCGCCTGCCCTGGGCCAAGTAGGAAGTTCGGGTTGTTGCCGGCTTTGGACCCCCTGAAATTTGAACTAGACTTGCTCCCCTACTAGTGGACAGGAGGATGTTTTGCCTTCTTAACCTTTTGCCTTGCTTTGCATTTCGACCAGCAAACATGAACCAGCACAATTTGCGCCCAGGTTTCCGTCAGACAATTTGTTGTTACTTTGGGGCAGGCTGAACGAATTATCTCTTAATTAACTACCCTAACCTGCAAATCACCAATCCAAACCACCAACAATGGGGAAGCTGATAAATTATGGACCAGAATCTGAAAAATATGACTTTTGGTTGCAACGCAGAGGGGAGCTGGAGACATATAAAGCAACTTGTGTAGAAACAGAGGGTGTTGGTCCAGGGTCAAGGCAAATCCCGACCCTGAGTTGACTTCATGCTTTATTTGGATATCGTGTGTCGTTTTGTTGAGGCTTGGTACTATGGTTTCCTTTGTCCGTGGTTGTGGAATCACGCACTCCCAAGTAAGAGCCCTTTTCAAGGGAGGCTGTTCTTTCGCTCTTAACCCCTGTGTGGGGCAAACCAAGAGTAAACCAACAATTTTGAGAGTTCAACTCTTGACACCTACATGGTGGTTGGCCGACCTTAATTTGCAGTTGAGTGCATTACTCACCCTGTTTCAAACTTTTGGATTGTTCAAACCGAAGCCCGGATAGTAGGTGGGCTTGTCTCGAAACAGGGGCGCCGAACCAGATTTTGTTAGTTTGATGTTCAGACGGACCAACATTGCTCGACGAGCAATTGTGGAGAATGCTCCTCAGCCTCCACGTGGGCTGACATGTTTCATCCATCGGCGCCAATGCTGGTGCGGTCAATTTAGCCAATGTTGGTTCGCTTGAAATGAGCCTGCTCGCCGTGCGGTGGCTTACCTCCTTATGTTGGCTTGCTGTGAAGTTCGGGGCAATTGGCCCGGCTTCTTGCCGCGCGTGCCCTGCCTTATGTGCACTGCCTTATATAGGACCAGACGGGCAGAGGCAGAGAACGTCGTGGATGACTGTCGGAAACGGTACCTAGGTTCTTTGTGTTGTCCAGTTAACTTAGTGCAGGCGATATCCGGATCTTTGCGGGTGTCAACCGTTGAAAAGGACCTGCTAATGATTTCTGTTAAGTTGGCACATGCAATCCTCTGTGGACTTTCTTGGCTGGTTCGGGCCAAAGCACGGGCAATCTTTGTTTTTTGTTCCGGCTTTTGGCCGTTTAGTCTCAGCAGGTCTTGAGGACACCTTGGCCTTTGTCAATAGTTGGTTCTGTTGAGGCCGCCAAAAAATTGCAGCCGGAATGTGAGCCACCTCAACGTGTGTGAAACACCCCGGTCCAGTTGGAGAACTTCAAACATGCGGCCGGAAGGTCTATTTGTAATGTCATTTTAGCCAAGGCAGAACAAGTTTAAAATAGCTTCATTTCAAGATTTGCTTCAAGATTCTTTCGACCAGCCCCCACTGGAATAGTCAAGGCTTTTTGTGGAGAGAAGCAATTTGAATGAGTTCGCCAAATCCAAACACTGGGTTGCATCTCGGGTTGGACACATTTGGCCCCTAGATATGGCGAAAAGGGGTTCCCTTCTGTCCCGTTTGTGGCCTCTCTCTCACCCCACGAGGTCGAGAACCTGATCTTACTTCAATTCTCTTTGGTGCTTGCCACAGCGCCGACGGGGCACCCAGACTTGCAAAGGACGAAGTCGACAGATCTTTGGGGATCTCTGGAAATAAGCTCAGGTGATATCCCCAACAGCATGCGGTGCTCTTTCTAGTGCTCGCACCACCCAGCCCTCGCAGAACCTTGTGGAACCCTGCTGGAACCCTGCTGGAACCCTGGTAAAACCCTGGTGGAACCCTGGTGGAACCCTGGTGGAACCCTGGTCAACCTTGGTGGAACCCTCGTGGAACCTTACCTCAGGGCCGCCCTTGACCACCCCGGAGCCTATCTGGGCTGAGACCCCAAAGCTTTCAGCTGTTGGGGAAAATATCTCACGTTATTGTTCTGCTTTGTGATTGACAAACATTTAGATCGAACTCTGAACATGCTTTATGAGGCAGTTGTGTTTGCTGTTTTTTAGATGCCTTGAGGATGGATTTTATTTGCGCCATGATTTGGATAACTTTGGGAATGTCTCGGGCCAAATGCGGGGGCCAATGCAGGAGGAATTGTCGCCGCACTCTTCTCAGCACGCGCTGATCAAATTCTCTATGTGGGTGGGGGTTTAACATCACCGTGATTTTGCATTTGTTGGGAGGTTCCTTTGGGGTTTCAACATGGAAAGCAAGGAGGCACCAAGAAATACGGTGAGGGAAACATGTGCCGCAAGGTCGGCAGAAGCACGTGATGACTACAGAGTGGGTGAAAGCAAATGAGGGCAACGTGCGCCAAGCAATGATTCTAAGAGATCCCCCTGATTGATAGCTCGGGAGGTTTCTTGGTCGAGGGTCAGATGTTCCTTTGCTTTTACAGGCTTTCGGGCCTAGCAATGGGTAGGGTATGCATTTTTCGACTGGGATGACCAAGAGAGGCAAGGTTAGAGAACACCATGTGGAAAACATATGTGGGGTTTACAGACAGAAAACCACCCAGATACACAGAACTAACACTTTTAATTACGCAGAATCCCGTGTAGATGCACGCACACACATAAACACCCTTCTGCATCTATGTTGGCCAAAGGGCTTTGTAGCCAGCGAAGCCGCTCTTCCGCAAGGTCTTGGTACCTGGCGTCTGCACCCTGGCAGGCAAAGACTCGGAGGGCATTTGGTTCTGCGGCTTTAAAGCCGACTTGGTCCCCCTTGAAGGGCATGGATTGCAAGGGAAATCAGAAGACCGACCACCTGTAATCTCACAATTTTGGAGAACGATGACACAGGTTCACACTGTTATTTATTGTCGTTATCTAGTGGTGGCTGGGACCCACAGCATTGCCGCACAAGGGGAAATGCAAAACAACTGCGCAGCCCGCAAAAGCGAATGATTCGGGACAGCCTCCCCTATCGACCAAGCGAGCTGGCATTAAAGAGCTCATCATGACATTGTTTGCACGATTCACTGCGCAATCAATTCGCCAGTCAGCCCGCATTGTAGTAGGTTAATTGGTGTGACCCTGACAACTTGACAACCTAAACCTCACTTAGATTTGGTATTTCAAGCAATGCATGTTCCCAAGCCGGCTTATCAGTGATTGTTTCTTATGCAACCCACCGTAGCGCCAGAAAAGCAGTGCTTCTTGTTGGTTTTGCGAGGTTAGGCCCCACGACGTTTTTGGCCGTTTGTGACCCCAAGCTCATGACCCCCAAGGAACCAGGTTCTTGTTGGCATGAGTTTAGTGACACAAGGCCCTCAGAAATGTTCACTTGCCCAAAGCGAATCGACCTTTTGTTTTTTCTGTTTTGGTCTATTTTTAGTGACGAGTCATGTCGCCACAAGGTTAGCTAAGCTTTAATTTCCTGATCCTTTCGGCAACTTAAAAAAATGGGGGCAGGTTGAGTAATATCTTGCCATAGGCGAGAACGGTTCCTACATAGGTAAGGAGCCTCTTTAAATTTAAGACCCTCACATCGGAAATATGCCCCCAAGCTTGGTTTGCAACTTAAATCGCAATTTTCCAAGATTCCATTTGCGCACAGCCGTCCAGGCGGATGACACAGCCCTTGGGGGTGAGCCATCAAGCCACTGGGCCCAGTTGAGTCAGAGGTCACAGCCATTTTGACTTGTTGAACTAGCCATTTCAGACCTGTGAAAGTAGATAGCCAATTCGCCCATGTTGGTTTAGTCATCCCCTGACTATCCTTTACTTGCACAAAGGGAAGTGTGCCATCCGCTTTTGCCGAGCTGTATTCTGAGTGGTGGTGCAGGGAGCAACATGTCATTTCTCGGGCACATGCTGGCTCAAATGCAGGCCAAAGGCACTAGGGGCTGTCAACGCCAGAAGCTGGGTTGCTTGACAAAACCTGCTTAAGTGTGATGCTCTTAAAAAACTATAGTCTTGGCGCCAGCCCGTGTGCCTCTTTTATTTGGGGCAAAACAGCGCAACCCCCATAACCCCAACCGCCCAAGCAGATTGAGCCCAATTTACGCCAAATCAAGGCAACTCAGGGCACCTGTAAACTTCTTGGTTTGGCCGTCCTTTGTCGACCGCGATTGTTCAATCCTTACGGATTGTGTGAGGTGGTCTATCCCTACCACACGCCGTCTCTCCAAGAATCACCGGTAATAGACTGTAAGCTTCAGAATCTCTGGTCACCATCATTTCACTCTTTCCAAGACTCACAGACGAGGAAAGGAGGATGTGAGAGTGAGAGATAATGATGGATGGGATCTCTTTCACCCATCCTATTCACTCTCTATTTCCCGGCTTTATTGTTGGCCGGGTTCTCTTTCATATTGTCCTTTTCCTTTTCTATTGTCATTATATTTCCTTGTCTAGAGAAAAGAGACCATCCATTCGCCAACCTCCAGCATCTGGGATACACAGGTTACAAGGAAGAAATCAAAAGTGAAGGAGAAGGCTTCCAGAGCTGCACACCACCCTATGACCACTCAAGTTTTTGTTTGAAAAGTCTGGGTCCCCTGCGTTCCGAGGTGTTCAAAGGCACGATACTTGTACCGTTTGACCTCGCTGGCACTGAGACCGGTGTTGGTATTCCTCGCTGGGGATACCCGGTTTGGTTGCAAACTTGGTTTAAACAAGCCAGACGGTTCCCTTCAAGAAACTAAAGACATATTGTTCAGGTTCCCTCTAACTGGTGGTTTGGAGCCCGATGGCTTGGAAACAAACTGGTTACCTGAGCTGAAGCAGTGGTGCAACCTGTTTGAACACCTGACAAATACTACTTTCAAGGGGGTCCAACAAGGAGTTCGGAAGAGACGTAAGTTCCGTCATGGATGCCGGGAGGTGGTAGGTTGCAGGTTTCAGGTACGACAAAAGACCGGTATTCCATGGCATTCCTTTTATGAAAGCCGAACGAAGCCCAGAACCTTAAAGTAAATGGCCGTTGGTTCGACAGGTTCATGTGCGCAAGACTTGAAGGGTTCAGTAGTTGCTCCCCTGCAAATCAACGAGAAACCCCAAAAAGGGGTCCCCAAAAGGAGATTCCTCTACAACTGGAGGTTGGGCTCCATGTTCATTTGTAGGTAAGTGGGATACCACTTGGGGTGCATGAGCTGTAGCTTCCCTCGGCTGGAGGGCATGGCCCCGAGAACGTAGACTCCTTTGACACCAGTTGGGTGCGATCACTAGTCCACATTTTTCCCAAAGAAACCAAAGGGTGTGTGTAGGTTTTCAGACCCCGTAGCACCCAGCAGGTTTGGTTGTCACGTGCACCGTCCTTTCAACAAGTAAGGCAGAGATCCATGCTGTTGGCAGGAGCTGAGCAGCGGACAATACTTCGAGTAGAGCCGACAAAGCCGTGGGCGGAAGTTTCAACAATGGATGATTATTCTAGCTCTATTTATCTTCTTTGCTTTTCGCTTCTTTCTATTCCTTCTCTTCTTTAACCTTCCTCTCTTTCTTTCTCTTTGTCATTATCTTCTATTTGTCTGTATGCCTGCCTGCCTGCCTGTCTGCCTGCCTGCCTGCCTGTCTGTCTGTCGGTCTGACTAATCTATCTATCTATCTATCTATGTATCTACCTAGCTATCCACCAGCTTCCTTTGCGTGAGTATTTTCTTTTATATATCTACATTGCTCCGGGAGTGCTGCGCCTGCCACGCCGGCTGCGAAATGTGCACCTGCAAAAGTGCTGCAACGTGCCAACGGGCCCGGATCACTAGATGGCGATTAACTTTCGAGCATTCGAAGAAACTGAAACCCGCAGAGGGCTGTGCTTTCGGGACATGGGTTTATTGCTTCATATTATCAGTTGCTCAGATGTTGGGACAGCCCAGGTGTTGGCGGGTTGTTGAAGGAGGCGCTTGCGGAGGCCTGGGGCCCTGATTTCCAGATTTAGTGATTCCAAAAGGAAAGCCTGGTTTTTATTTCCAGGTCCTCTTGGAATGTGAGGATACGGCAACCCTTTCAAACTGTTTTTATACATGATACATATTTTCAAGAGAGTTTACGTGTATGTTCCTTGCAGTCTCGTGGAGAAGGGTGGAATCAGGGACCAGGCCAGGTATCAGTGGCTTTTTGCCGCGCTTCATGCGGCTGGTGTGGTTTTCTCTTGATGTTCATGCGCGCAGCTCGCGTTGCTATCGTGCTTGGGTTTCCTTGGAAAAACTTTCAACAGTCCCATGGTCCCATGGTTGTATCAGACAACCCGGGGTGATGTTGCCAAGGCTTTTGCGCCTTGCCACTTTTTGTTGCCACTGGGGTTCCTTGCCTGGGGGGGGGCCTTAGGAAAGAGGTGTGTTTGCGCCTTGCGTCTATCGAACCTACCAAAGGTCCTGTCCAAATAGCAAATGATGTTCCAGGAAACCACAAAAATATCATTTTTAAGTAATTCATGTCTGGGGAAACATACACTTTTCCTGTCCAGGGATGATTTCCTTTAAGTTTAGAATCACCAAAGGGCAAGTCAGTTCAGATTAAGCCCTTTGCCCCCTCGCTTGGCAGAAGGAACATTTGCCCTTGCTCGGTGCCCAGTGAAGTACGCCCCTTTTCTCAAACATGTGTGTCCTGTGTTTTGTCTTGGCCACTGGCAACTAACTCTATTTTGGAGGAACATGATTTCGAGTCAGGAGGCTTTGGCATGCCACATGAAGACATCCTGAATATGGCCAAACAGATATGTCCACAAAAGGGCACACGGTGTTGTCAGCACGCAATGCCCAATGCCAGCTGGAAGGTTCTTGTTTCCTGTTCATGTTTGTGCTTGCATAACGCTTGCAACAGCTCGCATGTTCTTTCAATATTCTTTGAATTGTCCCAAAAGGGCACAAGGGGATGGGTAAACACAACAGTTTCAGGTTTGAAGGCTCAACCACCGAGAATCCTGTCAAAAAGGCCGCCAAACCTTAGCCCCTGGAATTCCTACGGAATCGCAGGTGCCTGCGCAAAGCGATGAACGCGTGCACGAGTTCATTGAGGCCCGGCAGCGTTGATAGCTGGAAGGCAGTTCGGAGTTGGTTTCTCGCATGGAACTTCATGGAGGAGCATCGTCACTGTTCCTTATGAAGCCTTATGTGCTTTGCGTGTTTGCCTTGAGTTCCCTTCATTTTAAGGAGCGGCCGCAGTTCCTAGAGACCTAGAGTTGTTCACTAAGATATTTGGGGACATCGTCGATCATCTCGGGAAAATCGGCGCCTTCGAGTCTTTGTGCAATCCGAAACGTTGTGGGGATCGATCGCAGTACAGTAACTCTGCTCCACCTTGGAGTGCTATCAAGGTTCCAGAATGTGAGATTCTGATTGGGGAAAATTTGGCGCACATCCACACTGCCTTTATGGAAACAACCAACCAAACAACCATCACTCCGAAAATACGACCTGGTCGCCTCTCGTGTCACTCGTTCCGGTGCAGGCGAGCCCGGCGGTGCTTTGGGATTTGTCTAGGCGCACCGAAGGCCGGCTGGACTGGGGAACCTCAATATGTTCGCCTTGCGCAAAAGCTAGATGGAAGTGCATCGCATACGTAACATGTGCATACTCGTATACCCCCCACTGGCCCCCACTACCCTTGTATACCCATGATCCAGGTCGGTAACCCCTAGTCTGGGGAATTGTGGTTGGCACATTCCCAGGGTCACGGAGACTTTGATGCAAAGGGTACGCACGCTTGAGCCTTTGTCTCCATATGCCAAGGTGCCATTTTGGGTACCATCTTGTGAGCCACGGCCAAGTAACCGATGATTATACCTTGCAAAGTGTTTTGGATGTTGGTTGCAAGCATGTTGCAAGTACATCCGCTCAGCATTCCTTGGAACTGCTCCGAGATGGAAAAACGCACACTTTGATGCGACAGCACCCCAACACCCATTGTGCCAACATGGTTGCCTGTTATTGCCGCCATTAACCCAAATAGGAACTGAACCAAGATGCAGCTGAAACTTCTTTGGAGCCTCGCACGCAATCCCACAGGTGAGCCTTTGGTCTACTCCAAGGCTCGGGGCAAGCGGAACCGCTTCAACACAGCGTGACCACGGCTCGTGGGGTGGTTTGTTTGTTGTATGTGCTTGGTTGGTTGATTGATCGCTTCGTTGGTTTGTGGGATGCGTATGTCCAAGTTTAGTTGTTTCGGCTTGTCTTCCTTCATTTGCAGCCGCTGAAGAAAAGTCAGACACATTTCTTGCTCACTCACGCGTCGTGGATATGACAGGAGGTCAAGATCAGGGCCGGCTTTACACAAACGATAGAGAGGGAGAAACCACTAGAAGTCAGATGTTGAAACTTCATTTTATAGTACCCCATGTCTATGGGTTTAGCGTCCCTGGTTGCCACTTAGTTTTAAAACTTTGTACCCCTCACGAAGACACTGGGCCAATGAACAGTAGCAAGCCTTTAGACAACGTGCATGCAAAAGGCGTAGGCATAAATGCCTCTAGATATGAGCAGGCCATGGAGACATTTCAAGGGGAGGACCGCGTGGTCTGGGCTATTGGCACATTGTGGAGCAAGCGTTGGGAGAACGGTTCAGCCAATCAAATCTGATCCTACGATCCTGGCGGGGTTGGTTGGAAAAGGGATCCTACCTTCTTGGTTGTATCAGGTCGGCTCATAGCGCACCGGTTCTACCAGTTGCACTGTTGTGGTTAAAGCCACCGGGGGGACCGGGGAGGTCTTGATATTTGCCCTTTCCTGCGCAAAACAGTAAAATATGGTACGAAAAGCTGTTTCAACTGGAGCCAACTGTCCCCTGCGGGTGAAAGTCGATCTCGGCAAGTAAAGGGGGCACTATGCCAAAATGGGTCGGAATTGTGCCTATTTTCACTTGGCTGTAGATGTTCCTGTGGAATGATCTCGGATGGTAATGAATAATGGCAATACCCACCGCCATGCCTTCCCCCCAACCCCTTCACCACTCCCCTTCCCAAGAATCCACAAAAAAGGCACCTTTTCGTCATCGTCCAAAAAAGAAAGAAAAAGGTTTGATTGCCATGCTTCCTGGCGCTTCGCCCTCGGAATGCTCCGTCCATGACAGGCGCCTGCGCCGGTGGCCAACTTGGTGACGCCCAACGCCTCCAAGAGTGAGCTCTGGAGCACGCCATCTCCCCAGTTTTCGATTCGATCGAGGGGGTGACGCCGTGACGCTTGACTTGTTTTTGAAGAGGGGGGACTCCTTTTTCTTGCAACCAACAGGAAAGTTTCGACAGCTGATCGTGGGGGAGAAAATCAGCATAAGGAGGTGCTGCAACGGTCCATATCTACACACACACATACACACACATATATATATATATATAATTATGTATGTATATATATATACACATATTTTATGATTTATCATGTTTTGGCCTTAAGCAAGTGAAAGCTGGTGAAATAAAGTTTGCACAGGGACAAGGTCTACACGAAGGGATATGGATATATTGCCGAGCGCTCAGCTGACTTGCGCCGACCTTTGACCAGTTGGTTCCAAAACCTCACCCACAGGGCATGCTGCGAAGGCCAAGCAAGCTGCCAGAGTTGTCAAAGCAGGCGGAGAAATCTGGGCGCCGAACGTGCTCCGCAGTTGGGGCCAGATCAAAGCCAAAGATAGCATACCCGCATTTTCAGAAGGGAATATGGGAAGTGAGTTCCTTGCAAGGATTGGCTGGATGGGGGTCAATCTCATTTTCACTACCGAGAAAATGCACGTCTCTCATCTTGTTTGCCGCCCAGGCATTTCTTTCCTGTTCGCTGCAGGTGTTTGGTGTTTGGTTGCTTAACTCGGGCTGCCAAGAACAACAGGGTTGGGAAGTTGTTGATGGGGGGTTGAGAAGAACAATGTTTCTTGTTGGTGGATGTTATCTAGGGGTGGCAATCAGTCTTGCTGGTCACTCAGGGCTGCGCTGCGAGAAAGGCCCTCTGAGGATGGGCTCCGGGATGGGACAGGTTCACGAGTTGATGACCCTGGCGTCTATGTGCAGTGTGTCTTTGTGGGTACCAGGTATGTTGCTTTTGGGACCTTTCTGGGGCCGATTGAAGGATCACCACCACACACCTGTGTTTGTCAAGCGTCATCCAATTGGGCCCTATTGGCCGCTACACGGGCACGTTTGGTCTTCAAATGGTAAACACTTTAGGCCTTCCTCGCTTTCTAGCTGCCAAAAAGGGGCGTGTTTTTGCATCACAGGAAGCGCGACCGCGTTCTGGGCCTGTAGAGAAATTGAGGGACGACGGGTCAAACACATAAACTCAAACGTCAGCCCTCACCTGCATGCTAAGCCTGTTCCATGCATTTTGCGTGCTATATTCCACCAACCTGAAGTCAGGGATCATTAAGGTAGCTTCATGAGGGGCCTCCGCTGGCTTCACGCCTAATCGGTCGCCATAGTTTGTTGCAAAGGAGGCTTCATGGGAAGCACTCAATTCATCGCAGTCCGTCGAACCTGTCCGCAAACCGCCGCGGCCCATTTGTTGATATGTCAGCGTCACCGGAGTCATGGCAAGTGGCCAGCGGCGTGAACCAAGCTGAACATGTGACGGGATGAATCTCCATAGGGGGCCCTTTGACATCTGATATCATTAAACTGAGGGGATTTATGTCCACCAGCCACTTTGGCGGGGCCGTGCAAACATGCAACGCAAAGAAGCTGCTTAGCCTGTACACACTGAGAATCCGCAAGCTGAAGGTTCCCGGCTGCATTTTACCCTTAAAGGGTTCAAAACACTTGTGCCCTTCTAAGGCAAACCTGCCGCTGTCGTCCTGCCATTGTAGTGCAAAGCAATGGTTTGAAGCCGGCCAGGCGTTGCATTGACCTTGGCCCAAGCGCGAAGTGGGCGCAGTGCGAATCGGCCGCCTCTTGCCGAATGGCTGCAGGCGGACAGAGGTTTGGTTGTTATTCCCATTCCCCGTTTTTCCTGGATGTTTGCCGCCGCCCTCAATGTTTCAAGTGGAGGTGCGCTTTCTTAAGTACTGGCTTCACCATGCTAATCACAGGGCAGCGTCCAAGGCATACGCTGTGTTTGCCTTCAATGTGGCTACCCGGGGACCTCCGACGGCCCTGCAACTTGATGCAGTTTGCTTTTGGCCTACTTGCAACAAAAGTGCTGCGCGCGTTGACATGCAGCAAAGCATACCTGTGCACAGAAGTAGAGTTTGAGCAATCGCTCGAGAAGTGGTTGCTACATGTTCACCGGGTAGCCGTGTCACATAGCCATGGCCAGCCAGAAGTACCCTTTGAACGATGCCGTCCGTGGAATTGCCTATGAAGGACCGGGTGACCGAATGTTGTCGCTGCACTTTCCCACTGGTCGCCATGCACTTACTAACCTGTTCAAAACCTAAGCTGGGGGTGTTTTGTTTTAAAAAAGGCCCTTCTTAAAACCCAGGCACCCCCCTTGTTCATGTTCATTCTTATTCTAGCCGTGCCTCCACCCACTTTGTTCATGAATTCTTCTCTTTCAAACATTTACGTCGAAGGCATAGGTGTCTTTTTTGGGTTAGTTGGGATAGAAGTAGATGGGTTCCACTGGTTTAGATTGGTTTCATTCCATGTACAGGGCCATCTAGCTTTCAAAAGGTCTTCCATCGTCGCAGGGCTCTCCTTGGAAGAGACCTTCACTCAGATCTACGGCACCAGTGCCTGGGGCAAAGGCTCGGGCGCCGGCAGTTTGCCGGCGCATTGCCTCAGCTGGCGCCTCGCCGTGTGAGAAAGTTCTTCGCGCACATCCGGTGATGTTGTTTAAAACCTGCCCCTTGATGCAAAGAATGGACGTGGAGTTGTGACATTTGTGAAAGTGCCGCCTCCAGCCTCAGATTCAGAGTTCCTGGAATTGGTCAATATATGCTTGGACCGACCAGGGTTCTTAATTAAGCAGGTTGGAGCAGGTGAGAGATGTTCACCACCTAGTGCTGGGCCAGCGCAGTGGGGCGGCTTTCGCATGTGTGGGGGCAGAGTCTAATCTGCATCAAAGGTCCCCAGCTTTGCAATGTCTCTCGCTGCAAGGCGTCCTTGCATTTCCTTGAGGGTCCACCCTGTTATTAGTGGGAAACACTTAGTGGCCCTTAGAGAGGCAGCGTGTTTGCACATGGAACGACTCCGAGTGCAATCACTTCTATATGGCTCTCAGCTGTTTGTTAGCTATGATCAGCGCCTCGATTCTGAGCTTCATCTCAGGATAGAGTTCGTGCGAAAGTTCATCAAGGAGCGCCAGATCAGATCTGTGGCCGACCTTGGCTGTGGCGACCCCAGTTGCCCAGTGGTGAGCAAGGCCTCTGCAAATCTGTTGTGCTTCAGGTTGCTTAAAATCGCGCCCGAAATGACGTCCAAGGTGGGGACTGGCAATTTTCACCCTACATCTACCACGACTTGGGGGTGGACTACGTAGGCTACGACGTGGTGTTGCCGGTCATCGAGGCGAACCGGG